GATTCATGAACTGTCTTAGGTTTTAGATTTTAACTGTAATCGATTTTTGTACCCACAATCAAAAAAAGATAAATGAATGCAAGAGCCTATTTTATTACCAGTCCCCTGCCGTAGTAAAACAGTTTGTTTCACAAATTTTATTTTTTAGTACATACTAAAACAGTGGATATCCCTGAAGGCACGCTGTTTATTGACTGTTTAGAAACCAAGCATCCTTTGCTATTCATCTTCGAGCAAATTGTGTGGGATTTGTGCCTGAAAATATTCCAATCATTGAAGGAATGAAAGAGTTTAAGTTGTCTTTTTTGGTATATTATCTCATTCTTTGGGTATGTAGTGTGTTGGTAGCTAGTGGTTAATATTAACGCATCTGCTTCATGGCTTGCTAAATATCCACCACTAGCCACCACGGCTAATAGTTGCTAAATGTAGGGTGGGTAAGCTTCATTCACTCGTTAATAAAGTCAGAGCCATTGTCAGGATTTCTTTTCAAAAAAATCAATTCCAGTCAAATCCTGGTAACTCATACCATTAAGGGAAATTGAAAAAGGTTCAACTGATTGGTAGTTTGAGAAACAAAGGACTGGAAACAAGGGGAAAATAGTGTTTACTTTTTTTCAATAACTTGTACACAGTAAATTTTTAATAAAATTTAATTATGGAGAAGGCGAGTGAAGATGGAACATTAAAGAACTGCAGAAATCACAAAGTATTCTAAATGGTTGGACTGCAATACAATGTTTGTTTTGAGTTTTCACATATTGACATGCATAAGTGTTTCGACTAAATATGGATCAAAGAATAAAATGTTTGATTGGTTGATTAACTTTTAACTTGAGCTTATAAAGACCAATTACAACAAAGCTTTTGCTTTCAATGTTTTAAGCAAATTACATGCACAATAAACAATAGGACCCATGTACAGTATGCCATTTTGATTTTCTGTTTTTGCAATGCTTACTCTGATCCTCTCTATTCTTAATTTATTGAACACAATGTTTGTTCTTATTTGTCACATATTGATGTGCAGAAGTGTTTTGACGTGGTTTGTGTTATGGAGGGAACAAATACATAGAGAAGGGTGAAGGGTGAAATTGCGTTGAGTTTGGGGGAAGTTTGAGTTATGGAGGATTTTAGTTACTGAAGGTAAATTTGCAGTAAATGTATAATGGAAATCTAGGGGAAATTGATTTTGGTTCACATTAGCGTGAGGTTTGAGTTAGAGAGGGTCTTAGTTACCGAGGCTAAATTTGCAGTAAATGTATGATGGAAATTCAGGGGAAATCGATTATGGTTTGAGTTTGTGGGGTCTAGTAGCAGGGGTTCGTGTTTTTGGGATTTAACTATAATTTCATTCTTTACTGATGTCTGGAGGAAATTAAGTTTTGATTGGAATAACTTATGTTCTCTTTCTCACTCAGTACTTTTTTCAATGTCTTATCCTTGGAACGCAAGTGATGTCATGACTTTCAGTATTCTCTGAATTAGAATTCCTTATGTGCAAGTTCATATTATGGAATACTTTTTTCGCTTTCTCGCATACATCGCAAATTGAATTTAAAACAGCCTTCAGGACCAGCAAGTCTGAGAGTAGCTATGATCATTATCTAAAGAATATGTTCGTTTTAGTAGTTGTGATTTAAAAGGTGCCAGATTTTAAAATTATTGATGGAAAAAAAAGTTCCAAACAAGTGAACTGGAGTTAAATGAGGGCTTCAACACCTGCCTTGTATCATTGAAAATACATAACATTTCTTAGGAACAAGCTCGTTACATGCACTAATGAAGAGAAACACTGGATTGCAGAGTGGATTATGCAAAACAAGACTTACAATTCAGGGATGGAAAGCAGCAATTGAAAATATGAAAATAGGTGTGCATAGATTAATTAATAGGGAGGGAAATCTGTGAATTCCTCACTTCTCAATGCTCATGTTTACAGACCTTTGCATGCACTTGAAGTTTCATGCCCTCTCTCATTCTTCTCATCCTTTCTATTTCATTACATTTTTATTATTTTCTTATTGTCTTGTATATTTGTAAGACAACATTTTAATAAATATTTTAGACTGGTCCAAACCTTTTTGGGTGCTCCTTTTACCACCTAATGAATGATACAAAGCTTTGGAATAGCAGTAACTGAATCTGGTTAACTGGTTAAGTCTGAAGCCAGAGCTCATAGTTGCATTCGGATAAGACAAATTTTTCCTCGTTATTTTTGCAACTAAAACAGTTAAATGAGAATGAACAAACAAGAGGAAGAATCTGAATGATGGAATGCAGCCATTGGATATGTTTGAAAGAAGTCAAATTTTACATTTAGACATTCAGACATTCAGCTGTAAGGCCAGCAAATAAATCTAAGTTGAATAATGGAGCTTTTAGCAAACTATTTGTTGGGAGGGAAAGAATCTTATGCAATGTTTGGCACCAGGTTAGAATGAAATTTCCAGGTCTGTCTGAGAATGATGGGTGGGTCAGCATGCAGCTACTTTCTTCA